TCATAATTGCGAAAGCAGCAACACCAAGGCCGTCGCCGACTCTTTATAAGCGCTCCTCGTGGCTTGTGCAGCCGAGCTCGGAGGATTAGGAACGCATTCGATAATGAACGAGGTCAAAGCGTGTGGGAGGAAGAGTTGGGTGCAGGATGGCTCATTGCTGTCGGCATGCGAGAGCCGTGTAGACAAACTTGAACTGGACCAGCTCAGCCGCACTGGGAACGTGCCCTGTTAGATTTCGACCCAAGCTCCCCACACAGAAGCACGCCTGTGGCTGCAAACAAACATCTCTGGCTGCCAGAGGAATTTTACTGAACATGTTTTAGCAAATCCGGCTGTTTAAATGTCAGTGTGTCGAACAGACACATTTCTAATGGTCAGAGGATTTAAAACTCTCCATGTGTATACGTTGTGACTAAAACATTAGTATCCAGGCAAGATGGTTAGATTTACATGCTGTTTTGGCACAAAAGAGGACTTGGAGTTGCTCAGTTTTGAGTGGAGCTTGGAGTGAGATCAGGATGTAGTTATGAAGTCATTTCCATTGTGTTGCTGAAACCAGATGAACCTTTTATTCCTCACCGTCAGCCGACGTCACCAACAAAACTTCCAGTTGCCAAACGCCCCGAATAATAAGCAAGACCACATTTTCTTCTCGATATTCAAATTCAGAAGTTTGTTGTGGTGAACTAAAACTAGCGGGATAACAAAAACTGAGATTTAGAACGCATTTTTGCATTCAGCCGAAATAAATAAAAGCAATATTGAACGGCAGCAACTAGAACTTACTGTTTGTAAAACTGACTACAACATGCAAACAAACTTTGTTCCTCCTGGCAGAAACACCAATCAGTCGCATAATTGAATAAATTTTTTGTGGATGATATCATGTGTTGAGTCTTCATTACCCGCTCACTATACATAATTACAACACAATAATACTTTGACCTTTCTGAATTCAACACATAAAATATTGACCAAAGTGTGAAACAACTACGACTATAACTCATAAAAAACCGAACTGGGATGTTTGAATTAGACAAACAAGTGTCTAATTCAGTTAGTTTAGTTTGATAAAAATGAACTACAATGAAATACCCAAATCTATTACAACCCAGAGTAGGATTAGTAGATATATGGGGTATTTCTGATGTCATCGGAGCTGAATGAAGACACATCACTGAATGTATTTCAGGGCAACAACTCAACCACGAAGACACAAGACAATTTCATAAGTCTGGCTCAATCAAGGGTAAAAACCTGAAATGCCTGAAGGCATCAGGTTTATTTGTTTAAACATTTAGGCCCACATACAAGTCCCATAGTGTCCTGGAGATGATATAAGCAACAGAGCTTTGCTTAGATACTAGCTGAGGCCACCAAGAGAGCGCTGTTGTCCACTGTGTAAAGACTTCCAACATGGGCTGAAGCGACGCTCCGATGGGAAGAAGGCATCCAAACGTCAGCGACGTCAGAAGACTGATTACAGTTTGTGAAAGCACATGGTGCAGCTGCTCCAGATAGTTAGACACGTTGCGTTCTTCCTCAGGTGGAAAACTTTGAGCCAGTTTGAATAGGAAGGTGAGCCTGACTGTATTGTTTGACAACCGGGATCATGTATCTGACTGACTGTAAGTCATGCACTCAGGACTGGTTCCAGTGACATTTCTGCAGCCCGCAGGTCAGGCAGTCACACACAGTCACACACAGTCACACACAGTCACACACAGTCACACACAGTCACACACAGTCACACACAGTCACACACAGTCACACACAGTCACACACAGTCTATCTTTGCCTGGTGACTTTCTGTCACTGTTTGGATTGACTGTCGGTTGCTCCAGCAGCTGCCTGTACTGACTATGGGGCCACACGTGCCCTCCTGGCGTCCTCTCATGTCCGCTCCTTACAAATCGATCCAGATGTAGCGTCGCAGCAGGAAATCTTTGTGCGCGCACACACACACACCCACACACGCACCTACACACACGCACCCACACACACGCACAGTGTTATTTCAGACGCTGAATAATTCATGTCACGGTGAATGTGTTGGTTTTACTCTGAGTCATATTCAGGTCATCTAAACTTTGAAACCAATTTCAACACTTTGTGCAAAAAGTCGAAGGAAACGTTGATATAACTTCAATATCGACTGAATCATAACGACCAAGTTTCACCAGGATTTTATTGAGTCCGTTTCATCCTCATGGACTCAATAAGGATGAAACGATCCATGATTGGAGACCTAACAATGTAGGACAAGACACTTTTAAAAACAGTGTTTTTCCTACTGCTGTTTTTGAAATGAAGCGTTGATGAAGTGACATCAGCGCTTCAGTTTACTCCACTGTTTTATGCCCTGCTTTGATGTGAATTTGAATTGTTACGGATTGAGCGCCGTTGAATGTGAAAGGTTCCGGTTCTGTCAATGTTCAAGCATCAACCTCTTCAAAGATAAATACGAAGCTGAACTACGCACTCTGTAGAGGGAAGAAGTTATGATAATGTGTTTCTTCCTTCCTTCTTTCTGTGTTACTTTTACCATTATTAGTAAATTATTGTTATTTTACTATCATTTATTATTTTATTTGTTTGTTATAGTATGTTTGAGGTGCTGATGCTGAATGTCCAGTTGCCATTTACAGTTGTCATTATTATTATTATGGGTCAGTCAATTTTTCTGTCCTGTTTTGAGAGGTAACCTGTAATCATTTGTGTTTTATGTAGTGTAACTCATTTGTAAGTAAACTATGAACACAACATGTTTCTAATCACACATTTCTGATCATTACTGATCAATGTAATAGATACATTTCATTGAATTAGTGTTCAAACAGAGAAGTAGGTGCAAGCTGGTGATTTTGCTCTTGGTTATGTGTGCACTTACTCGTTCTGTTTAGTTGATAAAAACCTGATCTGAAATAAATATGTCAATGCGAAACACGCCATTTTACAGCGTGCGTTTGCATGGATGTGCATGCCTTACAGGTATAAGAAAAAGTAAGCTACCTAAAGCTAACCTAACCGTCTAAAATAGGGGAAATATAGTGAGAAATCAACTGAATGTCTGCCAGCATTGTTGTTCTCCACTGATCCTCACATTAATGTTCAATTTATTGCTACCAAATCTAGTCAGGCTAAGATTTACTGCGCCAGTATTGACTTGCAATTGCAACTATAGCCAAACTGCTGCACTGTGGAATGTTTCACCTTGATTAAGACAATAAAGGTTTATTTTTAAGTGGATAACCCATTTGTTTTACATCAACATGTGTCTTTACCCTGCAGGGTGCTGCTTGAGAGTTTGAGGAGATCTCACTCACGAGATTTATGCTCTGCAGATGTAGTTCTTGGAGTTCTTCCCGTTATCACATTGCGTCTGAGAGGATGGCATCAATGTTTTGGGGTTATATAAAGCTTTAATCTTCCAACTAGAACATTAAACTCTTAAAAAAAAAAAGTATTTGCCTCCAAGCTGACATGAATGCACAAAATGTTCACTCTTCTAAATCACGTTGATTGATACATTTTTGGAAACGTCTCAAACCTAACTGCTTTTCCAGAGCCAGCTGAAGTTCTGCCGGGTGCGTTGAGAGACTGGGCGAGCTGAGGCGTCTAATCACGACTCGGGAGGTGATCAGACGCCTCAATCACAGAACCTCCACAGCTGCAGTTCTGGCGGTGCAGCTGCCCCCTCGGCCGCCAGGACTTCCAGAGGTAAGAATAGAAAAACTATTAAAATTGTGCTAAACTTATGGGCAGCTCAGCCTCACGGTGTAGGTGGGAAGCAAAGCCCTGGCTGGTGCTGGTCCAACTAATAAAAGAGTGAAGACAGCTCAGATTACAGACGGGGTTTATGTGGGTCGCAATTAGGAGACAGCAGGAAATAATGTAGGGCAGTTTGTTGTATATGGCCGCGTACACAGCAGACAGGGTGGTCTGGGTAGCCATGACGCATCTGCCCGGAGCACACCACCACCACCACCATGGTGAAACAAACAAAAAAATTATAAAATTAAAGATCCAAAATTGAGCGTACTGAGTTTGTTTAACTTGGTCAATTAACTCTGAAGTATAAAAAAACACCAAAAAGGCTTCAAACTGCTGCCTTACTAAAAGGAAAACAATTTCCATGTTTAGGGTCGTCAGTTGTTTTCTGTTTTGTTGGCCACATTTTTACTGTTTTTGACTTGGTGGACTGATCAAGTTTATTTTAAGGGCCACATCTGTTAAGATGGCCTAGTCAAATCCAACTGTAACTGTATCCCCAGAAAGTCTGGTTTTACACATGCAAACTAGTTTTTTGATTTATGTAAAATAAATAAATAAAAGCAACTTATGTTCTTCAGAATTATGAGCCATTTTGTGTTGATTAAAAAACCCAAATAAATGCCATTAAACCTTTAGTTGCTACTAGGGTTGTCATAGTAAACAACAAATTAATTAACCGCATGATAAATTAAAACAAGCTTGAGAATTTTCATTTGCATAATTTATCATTTTTCTCTTTCCTCTTGCTCCTTCTAGCAAAAACCAGATTTGTAACAAAGCCTTTGGTCTGGTGCATTCACCTCAACTCGCCCTTATTAGTTTTGTTCACAGAAACTGCGTAATTCATTGTGTCGGTTCAGTTTTTTTGTTCATTTATTTTGGATATTTGAAATGTTCCAGTGTTAGATGCTTATTTTTTAATTATCACCACTATGTTACTCGATAAAGGTCTGGAAACAATAGTATCGTTTATTGCGATAACTTCCAGGACAATTTATCGTCCAGCAAAATTGGCAAAGGTGAGATGGTGCAAAAACTGTGACATGCATGTGCATCCTTTCTCCAAGGCACTGTGTAAAAACCAGGTATAAAATAAATGTTTGCCATTTAGATTTTTGCCCTCTCCTTTCATTTTGTCATGTCGGCAGCGCTGGCGTCAGAGCGGCGTTGCATAAAACGTGTTGGTCGCTCTGACTGGTGGAGGAAAAAAGGAAGCAGAAGACAAGTGATGTTAAAATGAACATTTATAATGACTCTTTGTTGCCGTCGCAAAAATAATCTTTAAAAAACAATTCAATTATTAACACTGAAATGCTGACTTCACTGGTAGTCCACGAGTCATAGAACACAACTCACTGAATTTCTTTTACAAACACAGTACTACAGTTACATTAAATAGTCATTACCGTTAAATCTATTATGAGTGATGCTCAAAGAAACAAACAGAAACAATGACGAGTAATTAATCCTCTCATTCCCTCACCGTAGTAGCTGTTGTCTTTTTATAGAAAATATCCCGCTTCTGAGATGTTTCTGACCGAAGCAGAAAACAGACTGGCAGCATAACAATAATGGTATGTGAGCTCCAACATTGCACAAATAGGGTGATGTTTTTTTTTTCTTTTTCTTTTTATAGGGGAGAGGAACCGGGACGGGATCGTCCCCGCAGATCCAACAGTTACGACGGCTGGCTGCCTTTTGGCTCAGTGTGGAATTATTTGGCACTCTTATTGACAAAAAGCTTTCTCGTTGTTTGTTTGTTTTAAAATGGCACAGGAAGGCATTTTCTTTCCAAATCACGTTCAACAGACTCGTATAAATGCTCTCAGAGAAAGCCCTTTAGGTAGTCTTACACTGCGGACTTTCACATATTCTCCTCGTTTGTCACAACAGAACAAAGACGGAACCGTTCTCGCTTGTGGTATCGGAAGAGAAATGTACCCAATGAAGGAAACATCACTCTGCTCAAGCCGGAAATATTTGATCTTATGCTGTCAGCCCATTTTTGTCTGAGATGGAGCGAACGGAGGTTAAACGTCAAAAGCAAATCCCGAAACCTAAAGACATGAGAACTTTTGCAAAGTACAAATGTGCTTCCCTTACGTTGACACATAAGCAAGCGTTCAGTCAAAGGAAAATAAAAAAACAGAACAGAACAGTCTTCCAGAGTTTGAGAGTTCAATCTCCAACACACACATGAGTTCTGAGGATGTAGAAGGTCAACAAAGTCCATGGGAGGTTCTGAGGGTCAAACACAGAAATGGCCTCATGTCTGGTTGGCAAAGAATCCTTTATTTTATTTATTTTTTTCCCCCAGAAAAGCCTTAACCCGTTTAAAGGGTGGACACAGTTGCAGGTTCTCGTAGTAATGAAACAAGTCGTGGTATCGTGCAGACCGAGAGAGAGAGACTCAGGTAGAATTGGTTCAAAGAGAGGAGTGAGCAGCCGTAGCCAGTTTTGTAGCGTTTCAAGATCAGTCCTAGCCTCCTTGTGAAGGGGGATGAATGTCCAGGACACGTTTGGAGTGAAAATCAAAACCGCCAAAAAATAAAAGATAAAAATAATCACCTTTGGAATGACGCTGCCAATTGGTCTGGCGCTCGGATGCTTAACACGCAACGATGAAACGGATAAATCACTGATGAGAGCAGGCCTTAACCAATCACAGCTTTTCCTTTGTGGTTTTCCTCCGATTGGGGAGGCAAGAGTCGCTCTTCGTGTTGCTGGTGCCAAAGATGTCTCTCAGATCTGATTGTGACATCAGCTAAGATGCTTTACCCTTCACTTCGAATCTTTTGGCAAAACAACAACAAAAAAATCAACAACAACCCTAAAACAAAATTTAAGAAAAAAATCCTGATTTGAGATTTAAAACCAAAAGTGGACACGAGTGTACAAATCAGTCCTCCGGGAATGTGGCAGAGAAGCCTTAGAGAGAGGAAACAGGTGCTACTTTTCTATTTTGTCTGAGATTCCAGCCCTTCCCGTCATTCTCGAGACCCAACACGGAAAAAGAAAGAAAGAAAGAAATAAAAAAAGTTGAAATCAGAACAAAGGATGAGAACAACATGGTTGTGGAAAGCCAACACGGTTTGCCTCATTTCCCGCCCGCCCCTTCAATAAAGTGCATTTATGCAACACCAAACAAACTGGAAAATGTTGACAGCGAATCGGAAGTTGTGTTCGCATATCTGGTTCATGACTGCGGCCGTCTGGGGCCTACCTGACTGGAGCTGTTTAAACGCATTAACTTTACATGTAGCTGACATTCCTGCCGTGAATTTACATTAAAGACAGTTAGACATTCAACAAAACCCAAAAAAAACCCCAAACATAGATAGAGATTTTTTTCTTTACAAAAATAAATCAAAAGGAAACAAGAAATGAGTACATTCATTAGATTAGATCTGGGCTTTCAAGCTGTGATAAAATAAAATAAAATGAAAAAACAAAACAAAAAAAACAAAGAAAGTGGATCCTGAAAACACAAAGAGCCAATGCACTGAGTAACATTTTCACGTTTGCTTGTTTCACATTTGTAATCCTCCTCTGGATCTAAGAAAGAAAGACAGAAAAAAAATTACAAAAAAACAAAAATCTTCTCGGTGACGTTAGAGAGATGAATTCGACCCATGAGAAATCCGATCTCAGATGCGTGTTCGTGTTTGGTTTTTTTTTCTTTTTTTTTTGTTCTTTTCGGGCCAACATGACGATAATGAGCTCCCTCCCAACTCACAATGTAAAGATCAACAGTTTTAACATGAGGTGAGTTCAACTCAAAGAGATATACATTTTGACTGCATGCAGCGTTTATGTCTCTGAATGTTTGCGAGACTCCTCGCAAGATTTTTAGACTTTTTTTTTTTCCCCATTTTTTTTTTCCTCCGTAATTTTTACTTTGATACCATGCAATAGAAGACGTGCAAAAAGATAACACCGAACTCCACAAACACATCGTTTTGATTGTTAATGGCTATGTTATGGATGCTTATAACATGTTATGCTTAGTCCATGCTGGCCTATAGAGACATTTGTGAGAAAACAGCGGTACTTAAGCCACAGGTCAAACAAACACACAAGGGATGCATGGAGTGTAAAACAACATGGATCCATAAAAATCACAATCTTTAACTCTTACTCTATGTACCTATGGGATAAAACAATGCACAAAAAAGTTCTTTGTCCTTTGTTTTCTTAAGTAATGTGTTTGATTATCTTTTCTTAACTTAAAAGGTAATTGGCACTTGATCAGCACTTCTAAACAAGTTATTGATATCTAACATTTGATCGCACATCTACAAATTCAGAAGCTGCGGAGGTCTAGTTTGGCACAGGTCATACTATGGAGTCTATTATTTATTACTTCTACTATCTTACCAATACTGTATAGCGCTCGATACACCTCGGCTTAATGCTCCACCCCGTTGGAGCGCGTCTCTAATCAACAGACCAGACATCTTTTCCACTAAAATATTTTTTGTATAGTTTACTTATCAAATAGCAGCATTTTCATAACTTACAAAAAGAAGTACATGTAAACCTATTCATTCAAAATCTTAGTAATTTCAAAGGTTCATACAACAGACATAAAACACAAAACAGGACAACATGCTACTATATTGCTTCCAATATTCTTAACATTTTTCTTACTGTCAAACTAAATCATCAGTGACAGAAATATGGACACCACCGCTCGATGATGAGGCATCATAATGCACAAACAAACTGCGAAGCTAATCTTAGTCAGGCTTAGTTGGCACTCTCATCATCCACACAAATATAACATAGTTTCACATTGTACTGACAACGCTGGACTGCATTTGGACTACAAACTAGAATAGCTACAATAAAGTACATATAGATCATATGACGTGACATATTGTATTCCACAGAAATGAGCTCTAGTCATTTTTCAGATAACAGGATATGCATAAAGGATGTCACTGTTTCGGCTTGAGGTCACAAACAAGTTCCCACGTTGCTCTCTCTCATGTGTCTTATGCATTCTGTCCGAAATATTTTGTTTAGAGCTCGAGGTCGGCCATCGGGTTAAAATTCGTTCTGCCAAGATTTGCCTTTTAGTTTTAAAAAAATAATAACAACAATGAAAAACAACAAACAAAATTTTTTTTCCTTCCTTTTAAAAGGCCAAACCTATCCCCCAAATCTTCCTTCATTCTTCCCGCTGAGGAAAAATTTGACACTTTTGAGCTAACGTTTGCTGGTTGGTCTCGGTGGGTGTCACAGTTTTGGAGGCAGGTGTTTTCTGTGCATTTTTAGCCTTGTGAACTCTGCGGCCCGGGAAAACATTTTCGTACCCCTACGACTCGTAGTGCATAACTCCCACCCACACACACATCGCCCATGAGACGACAAGACAAGAGGAAGGAGAAAGAGGGGGAGAACACGGCGTAGGAGGGAAGGAGGACAGACGGAGGAGCTTGGGGACGCAGGAGGAGTCTCAGAACGCAGACAGAGGACATGCAGGGGAACAAAAACATCGGGAGGAAGAGGAACGTTAATGGGAGGGAGAGGAAACAGATTTTGGCACAATGTATGGATCAGGGAGTTCTGAAGGAGAAGCTCTCTGGAGTCCAACAGTCCAGTTGCATTGATAAAACACCCCCTTGTTTTGTGCTTTTATCTTATTATATGCTAAAATCTTGGGCAGTAAAAGGTTCTCTTATGCAATGATTTCACAGGTGGCCAGATTGTAGTTATGGATGACTGTGAGGCCTTCCAAGCACAGAGTGAAAGGAAGAGACTGGAGCTGGGAAGAAAGGCCCACTGCTTGTATTGCCACACAGAATGTTGACACACAAAGAGTTGCTTGAAAGTAGTTTGAAATCTGCTTACTTCTCTCTCTTTTTTTCTTTTTTTTTTTGACACACAATTCGTCAAAAACAAAACGATTCTCCTGAAAACTGGGAGCGTCTGAATGTCTTTCACACAACTCAGCACCAACCCTCACAGCTTTGCATTAAGGAAGCTGGTCATAGAGCTTGGGTTGATGGTGACTATATTGAAAATGTCCCATAGAGCAACAGGGAGGTGGACGTACGAGGACCGGGGACGTTCTGTTTGGGTCAGTAGATGGGTAAATTTCGTAAAGGGAAAAAGTCAAAAGACGCAGATGTAATAAATACATGTGTGGAGAAATCCTCTCTGTTGGTACAGTCAGGCAGAGCCGGCCCAAGACCGTATGGGGCCCCGAGCAGAATTGCATTTGGGGCCCAATTCCAGTTAAGCCCATCCACCAAGGCACCAATAACACCTCTTGAAACTGCCCAAGCTTGATTGTTTTCTTGTTCATTCTTTAGTAATAAGACAACAATTACTTCTTAATCACAGAGTGTGTTTCACTCGACCTTCAAATTATTTACTTTATTCACATCTTTATTTGTCTGTTAGGCACCAGCGTAGACAAAAGCAGGACAAAGAAAGAAATAGACAAAAAAAAAAAACTGGCATCAAGACCATTGACTAGAACTCAATCATATTAATTCTGATTAATTAAATGTAGATAAAATTGTGGGTGAAAAACAATGACAATGCATTAATTGCAGATTTAAACGTTCTCTTAAGTTTTTGGCACATTGGTAACACTGTTGCACACCCTCCAGCCAGTAGGAGGCAGTAATGCACCTTAAGTCTAAAGTCAATGAACAGGACATGTTGTGTGAGCTTGGTGAACAGTGATGGAGGACTTGGCTTGGTTTGTTGGGTGAAAATGTTTTTTTTTTTTTGTTTTTTTTTTGCAACAGCACAAGGCAGCTGAAATAAAATCATGGTTGTGTGCAACCTGCCGCCTCCACCTCGACTTCAGAGCCAAATAAAGCAACTCTATATCTAAGCTGGTCATGTAGAAATCTACTCACTGATTCAGTCATAAGTCAAAATTAATTAGAACTGACAAACTTGCCAAGTGATTAAAAAAATAGATGAATCAATATTAATTAGAAAACATCCAATGAATTTGAATAATTGGATTCCACAACTACTGTTAGAATCAGTCAAACATTTCTCTCTGCATGACTTAAATTACTACATTTGTCAGATCTTAAAAATAGAATTATTTTTAAAGACATTTAATTTTTAAAGAATTTAAAACTCGTTTAGAAATTGCTACTTAAAAACAAAATCTTCTGAGCGACGTTAAAGATAAACTTATGCTTTCGAAACACTGATACATATTTGACGCTTTGAGAAGTCAAGTGCTCTCTGGGGCCCCCTGCTGGCCTTGGAGCTCTATGTAGATTACTTATGCTATGCCCTTGGATAAAAGGTTGTCAAAGAAACTTGAGATGGAAGTTATATGCTAACGTTTTTTTTTAAAAGTTGACATGTCCTTGATATGCTAACCTAATAAAGACAACCGTAAAAGATGGTCGTGTTTGGAGCGTTGGGCCGGCTCTGCAGATTGGTTTTGATCTTGTGACATAAATGTGCATATAAAGATGTATTCACACCCCTAGCAGGACAGACACACTTTACATTGTGGTCTAAATGCCTCACAGTGCAGTCTTTAGAGAGCCAGCAGACTCGGGATGAACGCTATGGATAGCAGCACACAGGGGGACGCAAGGTAATCTTGGAGTGCTTCAGACATTTGGCCTGCCACTGTCAAGACAAACAAGCGGCAAAAAATAAATAAATAAAAACAACCATCCAAAAACATGTCCTGTTTTATTATGTGCTCCAATCGAGCATTAACGTACGTTGGGAACAATAATATTCTGCTTAACTGAACTGCAGAAATTTCTTGTTTGTCATCATGTCAATTAGGAAGCATTTCTCACAGAAAAGTGACTCCAAAATACGTTTTCTGATCCACGTTGGACTATTTGGTACCCTTACAGAAAAGGCAATAGCTTCTTTGTTCACAGATATAGGTTCTTACAGCTCTTCTTATCAAAAATGCTTTGTAGTGCTTTTGTTCTCTTCGCGAACTGCCCCTGCTTTGAGGAAGTCTTGAGTCTTAAGATAATTCTTGGGTGTCACAAATGTCTGGCTAAGGCAAAAAAGTATGTCTGGTGTTATCTACTGCAGGATGTTCGGCTTGGATTATAAAACAACGGACTCATATTAGAACTGCATTTATTCACAGAATTCTGAAATCAATCAATTGTCATTAGGTAAGAAGCCGGGTCAGATCCAGTGGGCTACCAATGGCTGGATGACACGTCAGCTACTTCAAATCAAGTAAAAACTCAAGTCATGGAAACGTTTGAATTCCACGGTACAGGAGGTACAAATCTAAGCCTATAGCACCAAGAAAGGGTTTGTCAACAACATATTTCTTTGTGTTTGTAGCAGTGGCTGAATATGAAATGATGTTCTAGTGTTTGTGCGTTTGTGGGAGCGTTCTCTATGTGTGTCTGTGTTAAAATATAGATATACATTCCTGTGTGTCTCCTCTGTCCTCTCACATTGATTCTTCAACCCCTGAACTACACCTGCAAGACGGCAAGCGCACAGTTCAGCCTGGGTTTGAGTTATACATTTCTTTCACTGCAACACAATGTTTGATCCCTGGAAAGAAAAAAAAAATAGCAACAGGCTAAAATTGTTTTTACATTCAGATCAACCTGCGTTCACAGGTTTAAATAATCTACTTGTGTTTGAATGAGACTATGTCAATAAGTTAAAGGATGAAAATATAAGTTACCCAAATTTTGTCATTTCAATTATGAAATGAGCTAGAATTCGACACACGTCAACATAGATGCGCTTTTGTTTGCCTGTAAAGAAATTATACTTGGATTGCTGCCCTAAATAGCTGAGATGAGCTCAGGTGCTTGTCATAAAACCTCTCCCCTGTTAACAATGCCTTCTGCATTGAACACAAAGAGCAAGGTTTATAAAACAGCTCGATTAGCTGGCCGGATCTTCATCTGATACACTCAGCTCACCCGGAGCTGAAGTCTCAAACCGACTTAAATCCAACAAAAACAACAACAACAAAAAAAGACCAAAATGAAAACAGTAATGAGGTTTTAGAGGAGGGTGAGACTCCGCAGCCTCACTCCTGAATCTGCAACTTGGCAGTGGACCAGTTCAGCTTACTCTGATCACCATTGTCAAAAGGACTTGACACAAACTTTTAAAAAACATCAGGACTTCTGTCCTAAAAACACACTCACAAATCACACACACTTATCTTGGTTGTCTCCCCCGCCTCCTCCTTTGTAATTCTCTCGTTTGATACTGAAATATTGAACATATATTTGGACATTTCTTTTTTTCTATTCTTCTTGACTCTCTTAATTTCTTTCTATCTCCGTCTTCATCCTTTCCCTCTTCTGTCTTCATTTTCGTTTTAGCCCACCTTCTGTGGGTTGGTAGCGCGCACGCCCTGCTCGTACGTGATCCGCTGGCTGATCAGATACTGCGCTGCTTGTGTAGCGGCCGGCGACCCTGTTATTGTAACTTTACGGTTCCGAGTACCTGGAATGAACTCTCCTTTTTTGGAGATCTGGATGCGGGCTCCTGTCAGCTCCTGGTACTCTACCAGTGTTTTCCCTCCTTTCCCCAAAATGGCACCCACCAGATTCTCGGGCACAGCAATTTCAACCACGTCCTTGGCTCCGTCTGCCAACTTTTCTGTTGCCAACAGGGAGGAAGCCATCAATGGGGATGAAGCATTTAGGTAACCGTTGGAAGCTCCAGTAGCAGCTGCTAGTGAGCCCAGGGAGAACCCACCGAGGCCTGTAGCGGGGTGGCCGGCACTGCTGGAGGCATCATTAGCGTAGGAGGCCAATAGGTTAGCTGCAGCAGCAGCAGCTGGGTTGGCACTCGCTGCCACTGCAGCGAGGACTCCAGAGGCAGCTGCGGGGTTGAGACCCAGACCCAGGGTGTTAGTGTTGTAGCCGTAGCTGGCCAGTGTATTCAGGGCTGAGGTGATGGCCAGCAGATCGTTGCCAGAGAAACTGGACATGGCGGCAGGGAAGGCACCCATTCCTGTCAATCCGGCCTGTCCCAGAAGGCTGGAGGCAGTGGCTGCTGCTGCGGCTGCGTTGGGCAGCACCTCGGCTGTGTTGGCGTAAGGGGAGCCGGTGGGGTTGGAGTTGGCCACTGGGCCCGAGACGTTGGAGTAGCTGATATTCAGGCAACTGCTGCTCTGAGGGTCCTCCTGGATTTTCTGTACAATGATTTCCACAGCCTTACGGTTCTGTTCTGGTTCTCCGCTGATGGTCACCACCCGCTCCTGCAAGTTGATGCCCTCCGGCTTCTGAGAGAGCTGCACCCAAGCTCCCGACTGCTCCATCACTGCTTTCACTGTGGCACCACCCTTACCAATGATCAGCCCAGCGGTACTATTGGGTACAATCAATTTGGCCTGCAGAGAAATAGAAAGATTGTGGTAGCAAAAGCAGACAATATGAGGAAGATTCCACAGCATTAATGGTAAACAGATAAGAGGAGTTTCTCTAACTGAGTCAGAGTACTACACCAGCCCTCACTCTACTCAGCAGTTTGTTAATCCCTGGGGTTTGGGCTGCAGCTGCCACACTGCCACATGGTTCTGTCTAGCTATGGAAGACTGCAGGTAAAAATAACCCCATACGCTCACATTTTCCTGACCCTACCACACTGTAGGTCACAGACCACAGAACAAGTAGGATAGGTAACAACCAAAGTGTTCAGGAGCCGCTTCGCACTTTAATGCTCCTACTTGTTAAAGAGACATTAAGCATTGAAACCCTGGACAGAGCTGCTCTAAAAACTTCATTTGTGCTCCTCAACTAAACTATAGACAACTAAAGCATCGGAGATACCAGATTATGTTCACAACTGTTGGTTTCTTTTCAAGAATCTAGTTGCTAACTCAACAGACTCTTACCTGTTTGACGCGGTCAGGGTTAACCGTCGTCTGTGGTTGCAATATGCTGACAGGTTCTGGTTTCTGGGCACTCTGGGGCATCTCACGGACTTTCTCCGCAATGAAGTTGTGGACACTATTGAGGGCTTCGACAGTACCCTGTATCAGACAGACTCTTTCAGTTGTTCCTGTGATAAAAGAGGCAGAAGAGGACAAACATGATCAATGGGCAACAATTACAGTCCTCTGAGTGGACATTTGGCAAGCAGATTTGAGGGATTGGCTTGTGGCTAAACTAAGATCTACATTTATAATGAGAAGTCTTGGACACAATGAATGGTCCTCTACTTTAAACAGAGCTATTCTTCACTCTCTCCATTTACACAATCAACTGAGAAACAGCTGAAAGAGTGAACACTGCTTAGTTAGCGAGCCACGGGGGGGAGAAGGATTCCTCTTCGGTGATGTAACACTTACAGTGCTGTAATCCTGTCCTTGCCTTGCAGCGTTAATAGACTAAACACACATTTGTTCTTCCTCCAGGCTTCTTTCTACACCCACACTGACGACCCAACTGGCATTCTGTTGCCATGGTAAAGGGCCCAAGCCGTGGAAACAGGTGATGCAACACCGAGTCTTTTATACCGGCTTGCACGATTTTTACAACACTCTCCTTTTTATGTATCCATCTTGCTCTTGGCAACATTTGCCTGTCCTTTGGAAGAATGGAGGACGTCTACAGATTTTTTTTTTTGTGTGTGTGTGTGTGTGTGTGTGTGTGTGTGTGTGTGTGTGTGTGTGTGTGTGTGTGTGTGTGTCAGCTTGACATATATCTGTGTGCAACCCGAGAGAAATGTTTGGATTCCTACTCTGATTGAGTAAAATCTGTAGAAAGACCACCTGACGAGATAATATTTAACAGGTTTGCTGTACAAGTCTGTATTTATCGTCTATAGATTTACATGCACTCAGGACAGCCTAAAACAAATAGAGAGAAAATGCATTTGTCAGATGTAATTTGTGTTATGCTACAGAAATGTTGAATAATGGATGTGGACAGACTGTTGATCGGTTTAAGGATCACAAGAACTGAGAAGAAATTCTCTGTTCAAAATTGGAAACAGCACAAGGCGTATTTGAGTTTATTTCCTCGTTCTGTTCTAGATGACAAGAAGAACATTATATTTCTTAAAATAATCCTTCCTGTCGGATCTGTGGAGAGCCTTTTCTATTTCTTTCTCTCACATACTGAAAGTAGACTTGATTTTCAATACGCCGGCTCACTGGGAGCTTAGGACTCCTTACCAAAGAAACATTTATCACAGAGGAAATGAATAGCCAATTTACACACAACATCCTCAGCAACACCAATGAATATGCTGCGTACAATAATTATCTGGCAAACGTTTACCTTGGAGAACTCAATATGCATGGCTGAACACATGTAAGAGTCACAATGCAATGGCTTGTGGAAGTTTTAAAACTTTTCTAACTTCTTGTGGCAGAGCTGCAGTGATAATGTTGGCTGTCATATAAGCAGAAAATGGAGATCTGTTTTCCGTCGTGTTAGCAAGAATAGACACATACTGCATAAAAACTGTCTATCAGACTGGACTTTTTCTGTTTTAGCTTTGTAAGGGTCTCCTTACAAAAGTCTGTTTCTAAAGGCTTGAATGTTGAGAGAGAGGATGACATAAAAGACAACATATATTTCCTTAGCTTTTGGAAGAATTTGGATAAAATATTTTGGATTTCACTCCATAAGCTTTTCACAACAGTTTGCTCGAATATTGGCCCATTTTTCCTCCAGTCAGAACTTGTGCAATTAGTCAAGTTTATAGGTTACCTTCCTGACACACACATCTTTTCAACTCTTCTCCACAATTTTTTAGCGGGATTGAGATCAGGACTTTTGCACAACCACCCCTAAACATCGACTTCGATGTCTTTGAAACTAATTTACTGCTTTGCTTAAGGTCGTTGGATATTTGGAAGACTCACATATGCGCAAGCTTGACTTGATGTCTCAAGATGGTGTTTCATTACTTCCATCCATGATGTCCTTTCATCATGGAGTCATGGGTTTTATGAAGTACACAGTGCTTTTTGAAGTAAAATACACGCAACATGACGATGTCATCCTCGTACTTCATATTATTCTTAGGTTTGCTTGGTCTTTATGGTCAAACACTTCAAAACTTTGTTCTTACATGCATTTGCAAATTGTAATCTGATGTTTCACGTAACTTTAAAAGCAACATCTCCCTGCCACCACATATCAATGCAGCACTCATAATGACTCTCAACCAGCATCTTCATAAGGTATTTTGCATTTGTTTTGAGGTTGATATTCACATATTGCACTAAAACATACTTATACCTGGGACAGAGAACCCCTCTCCTTCCTGAACAGTTTGACATTCCCATGATCTTTCCACTCTACTTCTTAATAATACTGGTGGATATGGCACCTTCAGGCAAGTAAATATCTGGATATAACTGTCGTGTTGCTCACTGCTGTTTTATTTAAGTGTAGAGTTTCAGATAAGCGCAGCTTCTATATCCAGAAGCAAACACAAGCGGGTTAAAATAAATCCAGAATACTTACTGACTGCCACGATATTTTTTTCGGTTTGTGTTCTAGCGTTCTTTTGGAGCTTTATGAAACAAGCAGGCTTGCACACTTTTACATATCTCTGCCTTTCTGTCACTACAGTCAAAAATTGGAGATTTTCATGTTCATCCTCTAAATTCCTACACAGGAATCTCTTTAAATCTGGCCTTTTCTTTAACATTAACCTGTTAAACATGGTAAGAGATCTAGGTTTTAAAGTGCTAAAGGAAAGTGTGGATGTTATTTTTGGAAAAAGGAATGGAGTTCGATCTATTGTCGATACGCGCCTGTCCTTGCAGGGTTGAGCAGGATGTGTCTGTTCTCACTGGTGGTTGGGTGAGAGGTACACCCTTGAAAGGTGACCAGTACATCACAAAGAAAGACACACAGGACTATGCTTGTACTGTCATATCTAAGGGCAGTTTACACAGACCAATTAACCTGGGATGTTTCTGGACAAAGCCAGAGTACTAGAAAAGAACTCACGAAAGCACATTGAGAACACGCAAACTCCATGCAGAAAGACCCCGGGCTAGGATTTGAACCCAGGACCTACTTACTGAAAGGCACCAGTGCTAATAACTGTTCCACTATGGAGGCTGTTTATTTTAAAGGAATTATGCAGAAAATGGTATATTCTTGTTTAAGAATCACTTTCACAGCCTCCATTGTTGTAGGTAAAAACAAAATGCATAAAGACGGCCTCTCTCCATGCTGCCTTTGATGCAGAAGTATATGAATTGGGTCATCTTCAACTAAGCAGAATGCACTTAGAAGATGCATAGCCCTGAGTAATCTTGCTTATTGCTTTTTTTTTTCTCTCGGTTTTCCAACACTAAATGCTGAGTGAGGAAGTTGCTATGCTTGGAACAGTAATTTTGAGTTACACATCTACGCAACCCAAAGGCTTTCAAAAGACTGACATTACATCTCACCGGACAGCAAAGGTGTTTAAATGCTGAAGCAGAGACCTCTTGCTGTTGATGAGACACACAAAGAGGAGATGAAACTCTCTGGATCTCACAATAATCTCTGTCCGTTTTTTCACTTCCTGAAATGTTTGCATCAGCTTTTGCCTTGCTTTTGTCTGCAAGAGTGAGGAGTTTTGTGGTGATAGGTGTGCACATTGAGTCCCGCTCAGAGTTTGCTCGTCCTACTGCTGTCATGAGGGGAGGAAAAAAAATGTGTCAGGGCCCCGGAGAGCACACATCTCTGGCTCCAGCTTTCCCCACAAGACCAAAGCCTCTCACGTTCTCCATCTTGATAACAAAGTGCAAAAGTTCCAGCACTTCTCAGGCAGCTGGCAGATGGTTTCCGAGATGAAAATCTAGCACAGAATGAGCTTGGTTTGATTTATTAGGACTGTTCACAGTGCCACACGTAGAACAGCCCCATAATTACTGTCAACACATCAGCAGCTTTCCGATGATATTATCCACGCTACAAACTGAGCTGAAACATTTTTATTGCAAATGTCAAAGCTGAATATATTTATCATGTCACATTGTTGCCACATGGGATGTCTGTAAAATGTAAGCAGTCACTTCAAAACGTGAAACCTTATTGTAATCTTCCATTTTCACCAAGCTAACCAGAAACAGTTGTGGATTACATCACATCCCAGCCAGAGGTTTGCACAATCCGTGTGACCTTGTATGAAAATCAAGCACATCACATCATGCTTGTCGTGAACATTTGCAGTCATGTGGTCTAGTGAGATAGGTCTCTAAAGCACAGATGGATTTGCTCTATGTCAAATGTTTTCCTCCATAAATGGTAAGGAAATTGTCCAGGTTCCACTTTGGTGGACTTTGACCCTCCAAGACAGATAATGATGTCTGGTCAAGAAGTGCACCAGCCTGGTAAAAACCAGCCTCCTGTTGTACGCTTTGCTTCTTACAGGCACAACAAACTTCAGAAAACGGCATCACATCACAGAGGTGTAAGATTACAAACATAAAGCCACAGACATCATTAAAAAAAATATTTAAGATAACTTTATTAGTGATTAGGGCTATTAGGGCTGCTAGCATCACTAGTCGCAGCAGACTCTCCTCGCTAGGTCTTGAATTTGACCTTTTAAAACCTTTTTGTCTTATAAACAAACTGATATTTCCAGATCCTGCATATTCCATGATAGACAGAGGAAAGCACAAAAGTAAAAACTACTTCTGCTTGTCTGCTGAGGCTCTCTCCAAACTGGGCTGAGAACCAACCCTGAATTAACTGCACAAACATTTAACGATGCGATTAACTGACCTGGAGGTCTGCGCAGGTCGTTTGTATTTTTACAGGTAGCGAATGAAACAAGTGAATCCTAATCCTCTATCTTAGTATCGTCTGTATGCCTGTATAGTTGATGTTGCAATCATGGCTCTTGTCACTGTGCGAAACCTTCTGCCTTGTATTTGTTTGGTCTAAGCATAAAGCAATTAAAACATCTCCACAGTAAGCCATGCAGTGCAGCAAACTGTTCATTAAGTTATGTAAACTCTCTTAAATGAATCTGTCCTATCTACCGACGCTTGTCAGTAGCTGCTCTTTCAGACTGCTACAACAGGCAGTCAGACTTTG